ATAATCTCAGGCCAAACTGGGACAACTGGCTGCACTGGTATAACCTCTGGGGCACGGTCAACTTGGGCCCGTGGCTCTGGAGTACAGGCGGTGGGAGTCTATGCTCCTCCCCCGGCCTGAGATGTGGCAGGAGCAAGTGGAATTAACCCTGCCTGAGCTAGAGTGCCAAACATGCTCAAAAACTGGGCAAGGGTCTCCTGCAGTGCAGGAGTAGTAACAAGCATCTCAGGTGCCTGCTCTCCAACTGGAGCTACTGGTGGATCTGGTGCAGCAACTCGTGCAGGTGCTCTGGCTGCACCACGTAGTCTTCCTCGGCCTCTGGCTCAGCCTCTACCTCGACCCCAACCTCTTGCGGCTCTAACAGGGGGCGCGAGTGTCTGATCATCGGATCCAGTTGTGCGTGTCCTCACCATCTGTGAGAGAATAGAAAGATAATGGTTTAGAACTTTTAAATCAACAGTGTGCACGATAAGGAATCAAAGAAGTGAATATTTTCCTAACAGTTCCATAGCCTCTCGAAGATACGTACAGACGTCTCCGTACCGATCCGTAAGACTCTACTAAACCTGCTTGTGATTCATAACACCTATGAACCTAGAGCTCTGATACCAACTTGTCACGACCCCAAATTCCCTTTGTAGGATGGCGTGATGGCACATAGTCTTTAAGACTAGGTAAGCCTATCAATGCAGAATAATAATAAATATCTGAAATAAATAAACTACAATTCAAAATAATTTCAACTCCCAAAACTCGGTAAAAATAAGTCACAAACTTCTAAGAATTTATCCTCAATGTCTCTATATAACAGAGTCTAAAAATAAATAAGGAAACAACATAACAATAATATAAGGGGACTCCGGAGTCTGCGGACGCTGGCAGATATACCTCGAAGTCTCTGTGCATAGGTACTCACTGATATCTGGGCTGGTAAGAAGTACCTGGATCTGCACAAAACGATGTGTAGAAGCGTAGTATGAGTACACTACAGCGGTACCTAGTAAGTGCCAAGCCTAACCTCGGTAGAGTAGTGACGAGGTCAGGTCAGGCCCTACTTGAAAATAATAATTTCATGGTAAAATGTTTAACAATATAAAATAATAAAAATGACAATGGAAATGAATCAAATTGTCACCATTTAATTTTACAAAATAATGGCAAATAATATCTCGGGGAATCAAAACAGAATTCCTTTCAACTTTAAGAAAATCACAACAAATAATCAAAGGCAACTGCGGCCATAAATCAATATCAACAAGGGCACTCCCGAGGTACCACATCGTAGTCCCAAATCATAAATAAATTCACAATATATCATTTTCTTATCTCACCATGGGAGCCTTCACAATTTATTTTATAGAAAATATTTTTTCCAAAATAGCATCCCGCGTTTTAGCCATCCTTATCACACCACATGACTTCTAGTAGTTCCCCCTACTAGCCACGCGTATCAAGCCACCCTTATCTTACCGCATGCGTTTCAATACCCAGACCTTATACCACCACATACGTATCAACATCACAATATATCACAATTTGTACCTCAAGTGCTCAAATAATTTAGCTTGCCAAAATACTTCAACAACAATATTTTTCCACAATAAATAGCTCACGACTCCATCACAATGAGTACGAAAATCTTACAAAAAACAATATTTAGGAATAAATAATTCAGCAAAATAATATTCCAAATCTTTAATACGTTGCTTCAATACCAAATTTAAAAATGTCAAATACTTCATATTAATAATATTTAATTTAAAGAAAATCAACTTCAAATAATGCACAAAATAAAAGAAACCAAGTTTCAACTAAACAGGTAAAACAATTAGTAGGAAAATGTCAAGCAACTTTAAAATATAACCATTAAATCAATGATGGAGAATATATCAGAATAAATTAGTTTAATTAATGCGCAACAGTGATCTACACAATTTAAAAATATAATCTTTCATATTTAGCCAGTGTACAAACTCGTCATCTCGTGTACACAACTTCCAATACATTACAATTTATCACTTCAATACCAATACTAGGGGAAATTTTCCCCACACAAGGTTAGACAAGTCACTTACCTCTACTTGCTCCAATTTAACCGAGTAGTATGCCTTTTTCTCGATTTTTCGACTCCGATCGACTCGTATCTAGTCATTATTAATTGGATACAGTCAACAAAAATTATAGGAATCAATTTCATAAGCAAATACTATATTTTTCAATAAAATCCGAAATTAGCTCACAAATCGCATGTCGGAATGATAGTAGGCTATATTTATGTAATTTAGACACTATTTATACTCTAATTTAGCCGCACTTTATTCATATTTGAATGCTAAAGGATAACAAAATGCTCTAATTAAGAATTTTATGCTTTGCAGGAGCCACTCCGAGCTAGGAGGAAGCTAAAGAGTGTTTTGGAGTCAATATGGAGTGTGGAAGGCCAATCGAATGTTAGCCCGGTCGAAAAGGAGTGAGAAAAGCAAGCGGGGAGGTCCCCTCTAGGTGCGCGGCCTTGGAGTTGACCGCGAATTGAACCGTGCACTGGAGGCAGAACACTGGCTGAAATTCGCGGCCGGATCTGTGGACGAATCCGCGGACGGAGGCCAACAACTCTGGGGTAATTATGTAATTTCTAAGGTGACTAACCTAAACCTATATGAAGCCTAATTCACCCAGAAGAGAAGGAGAGTTGTTTTTAGGAGATTTTGGAGGCAAGAACAAGAGAGAGAAGACGAAGAATTTCCTAAGAGTTTTCATCTTCTTCTTCTTACTTCCATTGTTGATTATGAATTGTTATAGTGAATTTTTATCCATTAATATGAGTAGCTAAACCCATCATCTAGGGTTGATGGAACCAATTGTTGGATGAAGTTTTGACTATGTTTAGATATAATTGGGCCGTTCTTATTCTATGATTGTTCAACTATGTGTTGTGTTGTGATCAATTGAAAGGGCCCTTGATTAATCGTGTCTAGTTACCTTGTGTTGCTTGAGAAAGAACACTTGGTTAGATTGTTGTTGAACAACACCAATTTCGGCTAAATTAATAGATTAATTACTTGAATTTAAAAGCGGGGTTAGAGCTAACGAAGCTTTGGTGGAATAATTCTGAGTTGCATAAATTGTTAACTAGAGTAGTTCGAGAGAATGCTTCTAGTAAAGTATCGTAATTGATCGAGAGATAATTACGGTAGCCCAGAACTCATAATTCTCATAGAGTATTACGACAAGATTATAGCTAATGTGTTGGGAATTATTCTGGCAATTGGGGAAATCAATAGCCCTAGATCCTTTTACCTTTGAATTCAACCTTATTCTTGATTATTGCTAATTTTGTTGTCATTTTTCATTAGATAAAAAAATTCCACTTATGCTCTATTACAAATCTTGCATCCGAAAATTGTCTGAGCTTATCATTAGAATTGTTAAAAGTTGTAGTAATAGGTTAGTTCCCTGTGGGATTCGACTTCGGACTTGAACCAGATTATATTTGCAGCGACCGCTTAGTCCTTTTTACAAGGCATAGTTGGACGTGATCAAATTTTGGCGCCGTTGATGGGGAACTAACGGTGTTATTTATTACGACTTAGAAGAATTGCTAGGATTCTTAGTTTAGATCAATTTCCTGCGGTATTAAAATTTTTCCATTGAAATTCTCACGTTTGAACTCTTTTGTGACTCAGGTGTATGCTAGAAGCTCTTTGAGGACTGGTGAACTTTTTGAAGGACTCTCAGACCCCGAGAAAGCATTCAGGGCATTGAATCGGGCCAACAAGAAGAACAAATAGTTAAAACAAAAAGTCCAACTCAAAAGTGAAATGGACAACGTGGACGACGTCAACGGAAACAATCGAAATGATCGTGTTGACCCAAACAATGGAGTGGTGGCATCTCTTGTGCCGGAAGATGCTCTTTATGATTGGGCACAATCAACTGCTGATGACCTGGCCACTGCCATTGTTGTTCCGCAGATACAAGCGGAGACATTCTAGATTACCAACAACATATTGTACCTGTTGCAGAATAAGGGACTGTTCTCCGGGTCATACATCGAAGACCCACAACAACATCTGAAGAACTTCCTATCAATTTGTGTGACTCAAAGACAACCGAATGTGACTCCTGAAGCAATTAAGCTATTATTGTTCCCATTTTTAGTGACTGGAGAGGCTCAAACTCGGCTGAATTCGCTCTCAATAAACTCCATTGCTACTTGGGAAGAATTAGTCAGGCAGTTCTTAAACAAGTTTTATCCTCCCAACAAGATTGCAAGGAAAATTGATGAGATATTGCAGTTCAGGCAGAAACCGACTAAGACCTTGCAAGAAACCTGGGAGAGGTTTAAGGGTATGCTAGTGAAGTGTCCACACCATGGCATTCCAAATTAGATGCTGGGACAAAGATTCTACATGGGTTTGGCAGACAGTTTGAAGGCCAATGTAGATGCTTCAGCTGAGGGTGCATTTTTGAGCAAAACGTTCACAGAGTGCAAGATTCTTCTCGACAAGATGGCTCAAAATTCAGGCTGGATGACTAGAGGTACGACACTTACACCAATAGTGCATTCTGTTGCTCTTGACCCAAACAATTCCAATGCAAAGAACATATCCACTCTCATGACCCAGATGAGCTTACTGACAAAGAAAATTGATGAGATGGGTACAAAGCAAGTGCACATTGTTGATACAACAAATGGAGGCTTGTGCACTCCTTGCATAAACCAGTCATATGTGTGCTTGTGGAGTGGAGAGAATGACAACCAGGGCTTCAGAGAAGACATGAATTATGTCAACAATTTCGGAGGTCAGAGGCAAGGTGGGCAGCAATGCGGACCAGCACCAAACCAACAGTACAGACCAAACCATCCACAACACAACCCCAATCCAGGAAATACACGACCACAAGGCCAAGTCATGCCTTATCAAAGGCAACATGGCTATAATCAGCAGCACTAGCAACAGTTGGCCTACCAACCACCTCATCAACAGCAGGACAACAACATGATAGAAATCAGGGCTATGCTGCAACAACTCATTGGGACAAATGGTAAGATGCAAGAAAAGTTAGCAGCACATGATTCGACAATCAAAGGCATTGAAACTCAATTGGGGCAGTTGTCTATGGCCTTGAACAACCGCCCACAAGGAACATTGCATGCGGATACAAATATTAACCCAAAGGAACATAACCCAAATCAGCTAATGGCAGTGAGTCCCAGGAATGGAAGAGATTTAGACAGAGAGCAAGAAGTCGCTCATTCTAGGAGAGAGACTACGCCAACTACTCCAGTTACATTAGAGGCAGATGAGTCAGCAGAGCTCACCGAGGTTATAATTGAACAAGCACAGGTTGACAAGGTTAAGGAGAATGAAGGTGAACAACTCTCAGAATAGGTGGTAGAACCAACAAAGAAAAGACACCAAGCAGTGGGTAGAGGTTGACTCCTACACCATTCCCTCAAAGATTGGCAAAGCAAAAGAAAGATGATCAATACAGGAAATTCATGGAAATGCTTCGACAAATTCAATTGAATATTCCACTGATGGATGCTTTGAGGGAAATGCCAGGGTATGCAAAAATGATGAAGGATCTGATGTCGCAAAAATTTGACTTCCAGGACATGTCCACTGTAACTCTGACGCAGACCTGCAGCGTGGTAGTGACAAGACCTATGGCTCAAAAAGTGTCTGATCCAGGTAATTTCACTATCCCATGCACCATTGGGAGTTATGCTTTTGCTAAAGCATTGTGTGACTTGGGGGCCAGTATAAACTTGATACCTTTGGAAATCTATACAAAACTGGGCATTGGCAAAGCTAGACCGACCTCATTGTTATTGCAACTGGCTGATCGCATAGTCAAAAAACTGACAGGAATTCTTGATGATGTGCTTGTTCAAGTGGGAAAATTTGTATACCCTGCAGACTTCGTTATTCTTGACTGTCAAGTGGATGAAGAGATACCCATAATTCTGGGAAAGTCGTTCTTAGCCACTGGAAGAGCATTGATTGATTGTGAGACTGGAGAGTTGAAAATGAGGTTGAACAATAAAGAAATAATATTCAACCTTTCCTCATGCGAATTTGCAAATTGCTCGCTAGTGGAGGCCGTGGATATGATACTATAAGAGGAGGATGAGACCCTTAATGTCAGGGATCCGCTAGAAGCCTGCTTGATGAATTTGGAAGAGATGGATAGTGAAGGGCTGGCGGATGGGTCATGACTCTCAAGGGTCAAGGGTTCTGGAAAAGGGAACCTTAATTCGAGCCCCTACGCTTAGAAGAAAAAGCAATACCACCTGTAAAACCATCAATAGAGGAGCCACCACAGTTGGAACTGAAAATGCTTCCAGCTCACCTCAGGTACGCTTTCTTAGGGCCTAATTTTACTTTGCCTGTTATTATATCATCAGGTTTTCTAGCTGTGCAGGTAGAGCAACTCTTGCAGGTGTTACAAGAATGTAAGACTGCCATTGGTTGGACCATGGCAGACATAAAGGGTATCATCCCAGCCTTTTGTATGCACAAGATTCTCTTGAAAGAGGGGCACAAACCTTCTAGAGAGCATCAACGACAGCTAAACCCGAATATGAAAGAGGTGGTGAAGAAGGAAATGATCAAGCGGCTGGATGCGAGTATCATCTTCCCCATCTCTGACAGCAACTGTGTCAGCCCTGTTCAGTATGTGCTGAAAAGAGAGGAATGACGGTCGTACAAAATGAGAATAACGAGTTGATCTCGACTCGTACAGTCACGGGGTGGAGGATTTGCATGGACTATAAGAAATTGAACACAGCCACCCGGAAGGACCATTTCCCCTTGCCTTTCATTGACCAAATATTGGACAGGTTATATGGGCGGTCTCATTTCTGTTTCTTGGATTGATATTCAGGGTACAACCAGATCTTTATGGCATCTTTGCCTTTCGGAGAATGCCTTTTGGACTTTGCAATGCGTCGGCTACATTCCAGCGGTGCATGTTAGCCATTTTTACTGATATGGTTGAAGACATTATGGAGGTGTTTATGGATGATTTCTCTGTGGTGGGGGATTCATTCGAAGATTGTCTTTAAAATTTAAAAGGAGTGCTCAAAAGATATGTGGAGACAAATTTGGTGCTGAATTGGGAAAAATGCCGTTTTATGGTACAAGAAGGAATAGTTTTGGGGCATCGAGTGTCCAGTAAGGGAATTGAAGTCGACCATGCTAAGGTTGATGTGATTGAGAAATTGCCACTGCCCACTTCGGTCAAGGCAGTGAGAAGTTTCCTTGGGCACGCTGGGTTCTACATGCGATTCATAAAAGATTTTTCCAAGATTGCTAACCCTTTATGTAAACTTTTTGAAAAGGATCAGCCCTTTGTGTTTTCTAATGATTGCAGGTTGGCATTTGAGGAGCTGAAGAAGATACTGGTAGCTACACCCATCATTGTTCCACCCAACTGGGAGCAACCGTTTGAGCTCATGTACGACGCTAGTGATTATGCTATAGGAGCAGTCTTGGGGCAGCAAAAAGACAAGATGATGCACTCAATTTACTATGCAAGCAGGACGCTCAGCGGTGCACAGCTCAATTACACCGTAACAGAGAAGGAAATGCTGGCTGTAGTGTTTGCCTTTGACAAATTTAGGTCATACTTAATTGGTTCAAAGGTTATTGTTTATACTGACCATGCAACAATTAGGTACTTGATAGCAAAGAAGGAGTCAAAGCCACGCTTAATCCACTGGGTTCTTTTGCTACAAGAATTCGATCTGAAAATACGTGACAGAAAAGGGACGGATAATCAAGTGGCAGACCACCTCTCAAGGTTGGAAGGAGCTGATAAGAAGATATAGGTTGAATATATAATAGAGACATTCCCGGATGAACAGTTACTCGATGTGACAATGGAGAGGACACCATGGTATGCTGATATTGCTAACTATTTAGCAAGCAGTATTGTACCTTATGAACTCTCTTCAATTAAAAAGAAAGTTCTTTCGCGATTGTCGATCTTATTATTGGGATAAACCTATACTTTTTAGAATATGTGTAGATAACATGATCCGGAGGTGTATCCCCGAGAAAGATCAACCTTCTGTTTTGCAGGCTTTCCATGCTTCACCATATGGTGGACACTTTGGAAGAATTCGGACATCAGCAAAAGTGTTGGAATCGGGGTTGTATTGGCCAACTCTGTTCAAGGATGCCCATGCTTGTGTAAAATGTTGCGATGAGTGCCAAAGGACAGGCAACATATATCGACGTCACAAGATGCCGATGACCCCAATTCAAAAGGTGGAGGTTTTTGATATATGGGGGATTGACTTTATGGGGCCTTTCGTCAGCTCGTATGGTAACAAATACATATTAGTAACAGTTGACTATGTCTCAAAATGGGTCGAAGCGGGTGGCTTTCCCAACCAATGATGCAAAAGGGGTGACAGGCTTCCTAAAGAAAAACATCTTCACACGTTTTGGCACCCCGAGAGCTATAATCAGTGATGGTGGAACCCATTTTTGCAATAGAGCATTCGCACGGCTATTGGAAAAGTATGGAGTTTGCCATAAGGTAGCCACACCTTACCACCCACAGACGAGCGGTCAAGTTGAAGTGTCCAACAGGGAAATCAAAAGTGTCCTGACCAAGATAGTGAATGCGACAAGGAATGATTGGGCAAAGAAGCTGGATGATGCATTATGGGCGTACCGCACAGCATTTAAAACTCCAATTGGTATGTCACCATACAAGTTAACGTTTGAAAAAGCATACCATCTTCCGGTAGAGCTCGAACATAAAGCCCTTTGGGCACTGCGACAGTTGAATTTGGATATGGAGACCGCAGGCACCAGCATAGTCACTGAGTTATATGAACTTGAGGAATTCAGGTTCCATGCATTTGAGAATGCAAGATTGTACAAATAAAGGATAAAAATGATACATGATAAACACATTCTAGATCGAAACTTCAAACCCGGAGATCTAGTGTTGTTATACAACTCGAGATTGAGATTGTTTTTGGGTAAGTTGAAGTCCCGATGGTCAGGACCCTTCAGAGTGGTGCAAGTGTTCTCAAGTGGAGCTGTAGAAATTGAATCCGAAGATGGGACAAATAAGTTCACAGTGAATGGGCAAAGGTTGAAACATTACCTTGGAATGGTCGAAGAAAAGGGGGATAGAGTGGTGATATCTTTGGAAGGGCCCCAATACGCGACCGAAGAGTAATAATGAAAGCCTGCATCGTGACGCGACGTTAAATCAGGCACTTCCTGGGAGGCAACCCATGGTTTGTTGTAAATCGTCGTGTCGCGATGTTAACTCGGGCGCTTTTTGGGAGGCAACCCATTATTTTTCTTTACTCTTGTTTTTATAATTGATTTTGAACAGCATTGACCGATCTACTAATGTGCAAGGATAAAATTATACGCATCGAAAGGATTCGAGGGACAAAATTAACCTGGATATAGGTAAAAGTGCGAAAAGACAAAATTTTGCTGGAGATCGATATCCGCGGCCGCGGATTGGACCACGGAGTAGGCCGAAGATTTTACACAGACCACTGCCTCCCTGTTCGCGCCCGTGGATTGGACCACGGAGTCGACCGCGGATTTTACTGCCTTCACTGTCGCAAGTCCGCGCCCGCGGATTTTGCCCCCCTCACTGTTCCTCATCCGCGACCGCGGATTGGACGCGATCGACCGCGGATGAGGCGGTACCAGGTTCAGAATTTGTTATTATTA